CTCTCCCGCGGCCCATTCCACCAGGCGGCCCAGCACCACGTAGCCCGCGTCCTGTGGGGGATATACCCCCGGGTACCACAAGGTGGTACATGGGCCGCACCATCCGAGGTGGCCCGGCCCGTAAGATCAAGGCGTGCACATCAAGATTACAAGTTGTACTAGATATTGTAATAGTACCAAATTGGATACTTTACTTGTAACCTTGTCTCTTCGGAGTATATAAGGAGAGACAAGGGTCCCCTAGAGGGGAGGTTAATCGGTATACATCTCAATACAATACACCAAAGACACAGGACATAGGGTATTACGTCGACTAGACGGTCCGAACCTGTCTAAATCGTTGTCTCTGCGCCTTGTGTCATCATCTGGTTCCTGATTACACGCACCGTCTACCGATAATCTACCACCACGGGCACCCCCCTCGGTGGACTGCCGACCATATTTCGTCGACACGTCCCTTCTCCCCCGCGCCTCTTCTCGTGGGCTGGCCCGGCAAGCCAGCCGAAGTCCCGCGCCACGTAAGCCGCGTCCCCGCCCCTCTCTCCGTGCCCTGTGTCAGTGTCAGCCCGGCCCCGCGCGTCAGTGTCTTCTACCTCGCCATGGTGTCCATCACGGACTCCGCCGCCGCCGGGACTCCGTCGCTGCCCCGTCCTCGCTGTTTGCCGTGTTCTCCACGCCACCCGCCCCCTTAAATAGTAGCCGAGCTCGCGCCGCCCCGTTCCCAACCCTTATCGCAAGCTGTTGCCACGCCCCAAGCCGCAACGCCGTCGAAACCCTAGCCGCCGACGAGCCGCCCGCTTCGCCGTGCACCGCACCGCTCTCCGTCGCTCCGCACTCCGGTAAGCCACCTAGCCGACATCACCGTTTCCTTCTCTATCTCCCGGTGTCTTTGGTTTGTCCCGCCATAGCCTGTAGGCTTAGATGCAACTAAGCCGGCGAGCTTGCTTGATTTTCGGCCATGGCACCGCCGTGCTAGGTCCTGTTCCGGCCGGCCGGCCACGTCATCCCCCTCCCATCCGTCCAATCTGAGATCAAGGGCCAGGATTAGAACATACCAATTCGCCTGGCAAGTTTTCAAAAGAGCTCCCGCAAGATTTTAAGTTCTAACCCGTCGTCCCTGCACTTTTGCTAAAGAGACCCTCGGCTTTTCAATAATCTAAAACGCAGTCCATAGCAACTTTTTAGAAAACGTTTTTTTCTTTTGAAAACGTAATTTCTTCGGTTAGATCCAAAATACGCTTTCATCTATTTACAATTTTGCAACTAATCTTGTTTTAGCCATAAAATCTCCGTTTTAACTTCGATTTGATCCGTTCAAGTTGCGATAGATTTGTAATTGAGTAATCTACATGTTCAAGCTACTGTTAAATATATTTTTAACTTTTGAAATTTGAGGTTAGGTTTAATCTATTATTTTATTAAAGGGAATCTTGTTTAATTCATAACTTCTTCGTTATAGCTTCGATTTTTGTGATCTTCGCGTCTGTTTTCGTAGCGAGACGTAGATTCTTTTACAATCTTTTTTAATCTTGATTCTATGGTTGGTGTACTGTTCTAATTTAGTTCTATTGTTTGCTTCGTGCATGATTGCATGGATGCTTGTGTGGTGCTTTATGATCATGTCTAGTTGGTGTGAAGTACGTTGGTGAAATAGAAGAAGTTGATGATGTAGAAGTTCTTTGGGGGTTACAATTCAATAAAAGGAGGATTTGAGTTTAAGGCAAGTATAGCATGTGATCATCCTTGTCCTATACACCTTTAATAATTTAATCATATGCATGTGTCTATCTTGGCAACCGTAGTAATTTTTCTAGCTATTTAATATTCTGGATGGATTCCTTGTTACCTATGGGGTAGTATGGGGTATTCCATTGAGTAGTATGATGCTAGTGCTCAACTAAAGTCATGATCTTGTAACTTGATTAATGGTATATGCAATAAACACTAAAAGATGTTTTTTAGCAACATGGAACAAGGGGCTAGAGCATTAGGCTATTTTTATGGTGTTCTAGATTCCTCTTCCTGAAGGGCGGGCCTGGTGCAAGCGGTAGAGTCTTACCACCTGTGATCGGAAGGTCCCGGGTTCGAGTCACGGTCTCCTCGCATTGCATAGGCGAGGGTAAGGCTTGCCACTGACACTCTTCCCTAGACCCCGCACAGAGCGGGAGCTCTCTGCACTGGGTACGCCCTGTTAGATTTATTTTCCTAAGGACTTATCTGTAAGTGATCATTCGGGACTTACAGTACAACTGTGAGGGCTACATGGTTGTGGCTTTAGCTCAGTATGAGGATCTTTTCTAGCTTGTTAGAGGCTACCTTTATGGTGTAAAAATGGCTTGCCGAATCAGGTATAGGACAACCTCTACTCTTATGTGTATAGCAGTGATAGAATTATGTCATTCGACAGGGGATTTCTATATCTGTTTGCTGAGTGAATCTAAAGGCCCTAACTTGTTAGACGAATCTTTAAAAGGCTTCATAGTGAACCCTGAACCCTACCTGTTTACCTTGGGAGTGTTTTGGGAGTAATTAACCCAGGCATATGGGTATCACGACTCACAGTGAAAGTGTACAACCTCTGCAGAGTGTAAAACTGGTATATCAGCCGTGCTCATGGTCACGAGCAGCCTTGGAACCCTTACGGAATAGATGATTAACACTGATGATACTGATGATAAAGATGCTCACTAATGAGTACTGTTTATGCTATTCATTATTCATATTTACCTGATCATGTGTTTATGTGGGTTTGTGGATAAACTTGTTGCCACTCTATTGCTAAAACCATGATTTATTAAAAGCTAATCGTAGTTAAACTAGTGTCAGTCTTTTGAGCCTCATGAACCTCATGTTATATTCGTTGAGTATGACATGAACTTACGCTTGCTTTATTTTTTTCAATTATTTAGATAAAAATGCCGGATGTGTATCAGATTGCTAGAGTTTGGAGGAATTAAGCTTGTGATCGACCAGTCAGTTGTTCCCGTGGAATTGGAGTCTTCACCCGAAGATCGAAGTTGTCTTTCCGCCGTTTGTTGTTTAAGGTTATTTCCTTTATACTAAGTACGTTATATATTGAACATTGTCTATTGATAATACCCTTATTTGTAAATATATGTGAGATTTAACTTTCTGGGCTCACATATGGTGTGTATCTGGTTTTGTTCTTAAAATCAGGTGCTACATATTACTTTGAAATAAGTACTAGGAGACACATGTTATTAGCTTAGTCACAAGTCTCCTATTTGTTTGTGTGAAATCAATACAAGGACATACAAGTTCTAGAAACAAGTTCCTTCCTGTCATAACTTCCAAAACCATTCGAGAACTGATTAACATAACAAACCACTACCTTATGTGTGTTGTACCTTCAACTTTATCTTTTGTACATCTCAAGGGGCCAAAACGATTAGCTACTAACTTTATAAGTTGTGTATGGACATTTGTAGGGCACTGGTTCATCATGTGCTACCTCACAATCTGAAGGTGGAGAACGACACTGCTAATATTAGAACTGGTACAAGAATTGATAATATCCCTATAACTCTAGAAATCATGAGTGACTTAGTGTTATGATGGCTGGGCTTCATGTAAGCATGCATGATGAGTGGACTTGTAATATTCTTGTTGATATGTCACAATCAATATCATGGTTGGTTGGAATATATTGTAATGTGCCAGCGACTAGAATCATGAAAATTGTTGATTATGGCAAGCATTTTTTTTATTGGCAGTAAATATTTACTTGAGGGCCGGCCTCCAAGGAAATCACAATTACCTGGAGGCTGATGGCAGCTAAGGAATCACAATTTCCTCGGAGGTTAAGGGTAAGGAAACAACTATTACCTTGGCGGTCTAGATAATTTACTTGGGGTTACTAGCCCTGAAGGGAATTAATTTACTTTGCAATATTACCTTAGCCCTTAGGCAAATTAAGTCTGGTCATAATTTTCTTGGCGGCTAACCTCCAAGTAAATCATCCTTGAGTGTCAAAATCGTCAAGAAAACTAATTTCCCTTATCTTCTATTCTTGAGTACGTTTGTTTGACGGTTCGTGGCCAAGGATCATTTCCTTGACGATTTTACCCCTTTTCTTGGTGGTTTTTGGCAATCAAAGGTAATTCGGGATTGTGATAGACTGGTAGTGCATAAGCATCTGGCGGCCATCATCATTCCTGTCATCGTCTTCCTGCTCGTCGCCATGAATGGTAACTGTACTGTCTTTGCTACGCTTATTAGCTTCTTAGCTCATCGCTGATTTCTGCTTTGCATCTGCGATCAAATTAGCTGCGCGTGTGGAGTCGCGTCGAAGTGGGATGATGTACCAGCTGTATTTGTTCGGAGATTCGTACGCCGACACTGGCAACGTGCCGAAATCAAATCTGAGTCGTGAGTCGCGTCAATGGTACAAACCCTACGGCAATCCGAGTCCAAGCGGCCGCTTCTCAAACAGATTCGTCCAATCTGAATTCATCGGTAATAATCTCAAATCATTCTCCATTTTAGGGTCCGTTTGACACGGCTTCCGCTGGCTCCGACTCCGCCTGACAAAACCTGCGCTGATCACTGTAGCTCGGAGCCGGTTTTTCTCTCTCCACCTTTTTTTGTCTAACTGTAGCACGGACTGTAACATGCGGGAGATGAAGCCGGACACGCCAGGAAAAGGAGCTTCCCCTGGCTCCGATGAATAGTGCGAATGTCAGTGAGAGGGGGAGAGGAGGAGAGAGAAAAGCCGATTCTATGAATAGTACGCTACAGTGTCGGTGTCAGGCAAGCCGGAGCCGGTGGAAGCCATGCCAAACGGGGCCTTAATTGTCCAAGCTGTTTACATACGTCGACGATCGATCTTTTACCAGTCTCTGATGACATGTTATCATCTCGATCGATCGTGCACATGATGTGATTTTTCTTTTTCCTTTTTACATCGATCTAACATAATTAATCAATCCATATATGCTCTATATCGATGTTACTGCATGCAGCTTCGTGGCTAGGGCATCATGAAGCCCCTCACTCTCTCAGACTTTCAGGCTCAGAAACAGAAACGACATCAGGCGATTTGGCATGAACTTCGCCGTGTGGCCGGCTCCGGCGTGCTTGAGGTGCCGGAGAAGGTTGCGACCCTCAGCAAGCAGGTCGACAACTTTGAAAGCCTGATCAAGGACCGCACCTTCCCGCCTTGGCGCCTGAGGTTCTCCCTCGCGCTCGTCGCCGTCTCCGGCAACGACTACGCCCGCCCCGCCAACATGAGCTCCGCCGACGACGTGAGTCGAAATGATCTATCAATCTACATATATAGGGATACGTGTTGCGCTTGCGTGTTACGACTTACGACGTGCCTATATATGGTTGCAGACGTTGGCTTTGATCGAGACCGTGACGACGGGGATCGCCAAGGAGGTGCAGCGGCTGCAGGATCTCGGGATGAACAGGATCCTCGTCAACAACGTGCACCCACTAGGCTGCACGCCGTTCCGGACCAGGCCCAACAACTACACCCACTGCGACGACGTCGCCAACGCGGTCGCGGCCGCCCACAACAAGCTTCTCGCGGAGAAGCTGGGCAACTACCGTGGGAACGTCATGCTCCTCGACCTCAACACGGCCTTCTCCAGGGTCGTCCAGCCCAATCCCAGTATGTCTCTACTTGTTGGTTTGATTATGCTTTCATCCGTATCGATGGGTTCGGTTCGTTGGATTTAGATATGCTCCTCTGCTGTTTGTGTAGACGCAACGGGAAGTGATGACGAGACTCTGGCTAAGACGTTCAAGAACAAGCTGAGGCCGAGCTGCGAGAGCTTTGATCCAATCACTGCGGGCAGGAGGACAAGGATGGCTGTCCTCAGTACAGCGTCACCGACGACCTCGGCAAGGACATGTTCAGCAACTTCTACTGGGATGATGTACACCCCACCCATACCAGTTGGTTCGTCGCCATGATGCAGCTGGAGGAGGAAGCCTAGGCTTTCCTAGATCTTAATAATTAGGTTGCCAATTTAATTATATATTTGCCATGCATGATCGTCGACGTAGACCCCATATGCATGCGCGCATGCAGTTGTTTTTACTTGGGTTCGCAATTGGCTCCCTTTGGATTTGGTTAGGTTTTAATTAGGTTTTGGCACTACCTCGATCTTGCCATGCACATCGGTTTGATCAATTGGCTGGAGCATTTATAATCTATATTTATCTATATGAGAAATGCTATAGAACAACCGAGTGTTTTGGAACAATCCAACACTCAAGTTTTCTCTTCTTCATCTCCTACCTCTTACTCTCTACTTCTCCAAATCCGACAGCCTTAGAAGGGGCTCGGCCGCTCGGGGGAGGCCACGACCGGCCAGGAGGTAGGGACGGCGTTAGGGTTTCGGTGGCGGGGCACGAGTGGCACCGTGGCGAGTGGTGACGAGTGCACAAATCTGGACGGCAGTGGTGACGAGTGCCGCGGCATACACGCTCTAAAATTTCATTTCCAAGTGGCCTACAGCTGATTTTTCGCACAATCAGATTTCCAATAGCAGCAGCTAGCGCGCGCGTACGATCAGGGTTATTTTATCGCCGCTGCTGTAATCGGTTTTAGCGAGGTGCGTTTCTCGAAAACTCGTTTGAGATAGCGGTATGTACAAACAACATTCCGGTAGTCCGTAGTCGTTATCCCCGGCCGGCCCATATGTTTTTTTTTCGAGTACTCGTTTGACATGAGTATGCACAAACAAGATTCCGGTGGTCGTTATTGATATCCAAACAACCCCGATGGATGTATAGACGATGTAAACAGAATTGATCCTCATCCTCTCGCCAACACCGGGCCATCTATACCCTATATAAATTAATGGTATCAACCCACTTATACCCTATATATAAAAAACACTATCCAATTATTATAAGATTATAATCACAAAACATATCGTTTCAAAATATAATCACAAAACATATAATATAAAAAAGTGAATACTTAAATTATAATTTGAGAGAGAGTATCATGTCAGACTGCGCCTTATAAACTGGATTGGAGGGAGTAATAACACAAATGATTTCATAGATTAACTTAACAGATAGTGAGAGCTTGGCTCGATGCTTACATTATAAGTGGGTTGAAGATATGGATTAATCTAGCAATCGACCTATTTAATTGCACGGCCATCTTGCTAGTTACAATATAGCGTAGTACTCACTAATTGAGTGCCTGCGACATCTGTAGACAAGTTTTCACCTGTCAGTACTTGGCAACTCTGTTCATTTCATCTTAAAGTAACTTTATTTGATATCTGGTTCGAGTTACGTCTTCAATTCTCTGCTTCCCTCCCCTTCGATCTACGGAGAGTCTATTGTTGTGGTCTGTGGATCTGGTGGGGCTGGTGGTGCGGAAAGATTGATGGGTGGGACTTCCTCAACTGCAAAAAGAAGAACTGGATCAGCTATGAGAGCAAATAAGGAAAACACTAGTAGTAAAAAGAATAGGAACTTGCCAAAGCACATGGGCAAGAGAGTCGGTGGAACGATCACTGCGCAGGTTAGTGGAAGGAGGTACATTCGTGTTGGAATGAGAGGAAAGGGCGACATCCGGCTGATATCCCCGGACAACACGTGGCAGAGGCAAATCAGATTCTCTCTGATGACTTGTCGAAGACCATCGCAGCACTGGAACCGTGCCGTCGTCTCGCTTGCATTCGTCAAATAGGGGAAGCACGAGCTCAGAGGCAGCAATGGCATGTAGCAGTCACCTGTTTGCTGGGACGGGGTACCTGGGCGTGGTGCAGGAGGTGTCGGCGACGGAACGCCACGCCATGGGGTACCCGGGCGTCGCGGGGGATTGGCTGCTACTCCATTGGAGAAGGCGAGAACTAGTATGATGAAGAGGTAGGGAGCTGATGCCATTGCTTGGAGTTTGCCTGTCATCTGATTGAGGTGATTTTTTTGTGTCTCAACTCTCAAGGAGTATGGCGCTCTTTAAAGGCTGGCTGGGTTGATGGGTTTTTGCACAATCCTGCAATTGCGCGACACATTCGCAGCCTGAGCGCACTCTTTCGATTTATCTGAGAGTTAGCAGGGCACATTCTTGACAAGAGCTCCTCCTAGCTAGATATTGGTCGCCACTTCTTTTCGGTGAAACTTTTAAGGGCACGGCTCCACCTCACCCATAAAGTCCTTTTTTAGAGCTTCAGCTCCATGAACAGCTCTATGGGTGTAGCTGTAGCCGTTTTGATAAATCGTTTGGCAAAACAGCTTCACATATAGTTTTTCTTAAAATATGCTCTCAGAGAACGTCATGTAGAATGAGGTGAAGCCGAGAGAAGCCACTATTTTTAGCTCCTTCCCACCCCAAAGCTCTATGAGAGCATGTTTTTAGAGGCTTCATCGGTGAAGCCGTTTTATTTTACCCCGTTTAACAGAAAACGGCTCCAAACGACTCCTGAAGCCGCTAGAGAAGCCATACCAAACGAGGTTTAATTGTCCGGTTAGTTTACCGCTGGCAACGCCCAACGCATTTGCCGCGGGCTGACCTCTGCACGGGCGTTCGACCACGATCAACGCCCGTACCTTCTCCTGCCGCCGCAGGCGGGGCGACCGAACTGTGTGCAAGGGATGGGATGGGATGCCTCACGGGAAGCGCATGGGCTGAACAGTGGAGGTCGAGGCCAGACCGCCACACGCATGCGCTGATCAGGTCGGCCGTTGCCCGTTGCAACGCCAAGAGAGCCGGGGAATGGAAAACTTAACTTCCAGGCCTCCTTCCGTGCGTGGTGCGTTGGGAACATTCGTGGCGATTCAGATCGAGGACCAGAATTCATTGAAAGCTTTTGGATATCTGCAACGTGTTATGTTATTTTTTAAAAAAAAAACTTGCCATGTCATATACATATAATCCTCTGCCCATAATTGATTGTCGTAGGCAACATTATTACAACGGTAACGCTTTGTTCAGGGCGTGTGTTCGTCCGGATGGACCTTCCTGAGCCTACAGCTGCACCGCACAGTTTGCGAATCAACCAAATAGGCCTCTAGTTTTTTTAATTATCGTGCGCCGGCCGGATAAGGATGAGAAAAGGAGACTTCCCCCCTGATCTGCTCCGTCCATAGTCTATGGCGTTCTCTTCCTTTTCTTTCCCAAAACTCTACCGCTGCCACCACCGCTCAAGCCCCCACGCCCACCAGACCTCCCTTGCCGCTGCTACTACTCCGCTGTCCGCCACGCCTGATGGCGAGGGCACCGCCGCGCCCACGCTCGGGGACAACTTTCTCGGCCGCCGGCGGGCCACCGAGGCCATCATGCATGTGTTCGCGCCCGACGACACAGACATCCGCCACCGGCGCAAGGAGAAGCTCCGGGCCTTGGCGTGGAAGACCTCTGGCCTCGCACTCCTGCTATGGCTGCGGCACCCCGGTGCGGATGGAGGAGGAGGCCGCATCAGGATACATCGCATGTTGCAGATGTATCTTTCAAATGTTTCAGATGTTTAAAAGGTATGTTGCAAATGTTTCATGTGGATGTTGCATAAGTAAATAGAGATGTTGCACATGTTACCATGGATGTACACGTATGTTTCAAGTGTATGTTTCTAATGTTTTATCTGTTTCAGACGTATGTTGCAAGTGTTTTATTTGGATGTTGCAAAAGTAGATCTGAATACTGCATATATATGCAAGTGTTTCAGGTGTTTTCATACATATGTTGCAATTATTTTCATCTGGATGTTGCAATGTTTTGCAATGACTATCCACGTGCTTTCAAGTTTTTTTTTTTCCGATGTTTTGCAAGTATTTCAGCTATTTCGGACATATGTTGCAAGTGTTTTATCTGGATGTTGTAAAAGTAGATCAGATGTTGCACATGTAGAATGAGACCCACCTGCCGCAGCTGCCTGCTGCAGCTGCGGAGCGGGGCACCCGTGTGTGGTCAGTGCGTGAGAGACGTCCAAGCGGCGCAGGCCCCGCCTAGCCGCGCAAAACGAGCAGACACAGGAAATGGGGTGCTTGGAAACGGACCAGCAGGCGCGGACGTCCGAACCCGCACGTACATCCAGACGTTCGGGCAGATTTTTTAATCCTTTTTTATTCAATATTTCAATAATAATCGCTCCAAAAAAATTACGGATCTAACACTTTTGGTCGCGCCGGCGCTGGCGCGATCAAATAACATTGTCGCGCCACATGTATTGGCGCGAAAACATCCGCCACGTTAGACGACGTTTCTGACGTGGAAAACGCTAGCGTGACAATATTGTTCTGTCGTGCCACTCCGGGTGACGTGACAAGACTGAACATTTTGAAAAATCATAACTCTTTCATATGTCATCAGATGAAGATGAAATTTATATAAAAATTATAGCTCTCGATGAGATCTACAACTTTGTAGTTTTAAGTTTTTTCATTTGAGGGCGTTAAGATGCTCAAAAAAATAATATAAAATTTTATAAGCATAATAACCGCGTACCAGTGCTTGTCGCTTTAGACAAAAAAATATCTTTTTTGTATGATGTCAAATGAAAATACTTTTAACATCAAAGTTGTAGCTCCCAATGAGATCTACATCTTTATAGCTTTGACTTTTCACATTTGAAGTCGTTAAGATTCTCAAAAAACTAATATAAAATTCTAGTAGCATAATAATCGCGTACCAGTGCTTATCATGTTAGAAAAATAATATCGTTTTTGTGTCGTGTCAAATGTAGGTATTTTTATGTCAAAGTTGAAGCTCTCAATGAGATCTACAACTTTTATTTAAAAAATATTTTTATATGACATCAAATAAGAAATATACCATTTTTCTAAAACGATAAGCTTTGATACATAATTAATATGCTACTAAAACTTTATATTAGTTTTTAGACTATGTTAACCCTCTCAAATATGAAAACTCGAAACTATAAACTTATAGATATCAATAAGGGCTACAACTTTGATATAAAATATATCTTTATTTGACATCATACAAAAACGATATTATTTTTCTAATGCGACAAACGCTAGTGAGCGATTATTATTTCGCTAAAATTTTATATTATTTTTTTGTGCATATTAACGATGTCAAATGTAAAAATTGAAAACTATAAAGTTATAGATCTCATTGAGAGCTACAACTTTTGTATAAAAAGTATCTTCATTTGATAACATAGAAAAAAAAAATATTATTTTTCTAATGCGACAAGCACCAGCACGCGGTTATTATGCTCCTGAAATTTTATATTATTTTTTGAGTATCTTAACGACCTTAAACGGAAAAACTCAAAACTAGAAAGTTGTAGATCTCATCAAGAGCTCGGATTTTCATATAAATTTCATCTTCATCCAATATCGTATTAAAGAGTTATGATTTTTCAAAGTTTCGGTCTTATCACGTCACTCCCGGTGGTGGGACAGAATAATACTGTCACACTAGCGGGAGTGGCGTGACAGCATTTTTCACGTCGGAAACACCGTCTAACGTAGCAGATGTTGCCGCGCCAATGCATGTGGCGCAACAATATTATTTGGTCGCGTCAGCGACCAAAAGGGTCAGATTCGCAATTTTTTTAGAAGTGATTATTATTAAAATATTGAATAAAAAAGGATCAAAAAATAAAAATTCTCCTCGACGGCTAGCATCTCTGTTATTAACCACAATTTGGTAACATGTAGTCTCGCGTGATTAGGAGGATCATGACGGATGTTTTCACGGAGGAAGAAGATTCTCCACGCTCTTTTCTCCTGTTATTAGGAGAATCCGGAGGATTTTTTTTGTTTTTCTGGATTTTTAATTTATTAAGTTATTTATAAATCTGAAAAATCAATGGCTCAATTTTATTTGAGATATTATTACTTCCTCATAGATAAAGGGAGTATCTTAGTATTGTCCAAGGTTCATCGTTCACCGTTTGCTCTCTTGCATGTTACCTAATGCACCTGGAGTTTGAAGATGTATTTGCGGCAAACAAGTAATCAAGTCGGAACCGGTAAAATCTCCCACACCAGTAGGAAAGTGCAGACGAGCTACCGAGCAGATAAAAAATCCCCGCACATGAACATGCAACGGCGCGTGCAGTCGTCCATTTGCATTCGTTCATCAAAAATCCATTCTCTAATACCTGAACCAAATAGGACCCGCTCTGCTGTTCTTCGTGCTTGTCCTTTGAACTGATACATGGTTCGTCTATGTACACAGCAATGCAAACAGATGTGTCTAGACCATCTCTGGAGAGGCCTAGGGGCGGACCTAGTGCACAAGGAGCGGAGGCACATGACCCACTTAAATTCTAGGTTTTCAAAAAAAAAGAGTCCTCTTTCATGTAATTGTTGGGATTCATTGGTAAAAAGCCGTCACTCAAATTTTGTGCTAGTTTCACCCCTGGAGAGACCAGACAATCGACAATGTTGTCTGCCCCTGTAGACCATGCACTCCGATCATTTGGTTGGCAATGCTCGGTTCACTCGGTGACAGTTGGCGAACTCAACCAATTCAAGCCCGCAGTCGAGTCAACTGGTAGAATTCCCTGAAGAACTAGATATATTCATAAACACTGTCAAACAAACCAATTGAATTTATGCACACAATCGACCCAACCGAGTGAATCACCTATCATCAAGTACCAATCATCACATCATTTTAACTGACAAATTTGGCTATTCAATGTTACAACTCGAGCCAAATTTAAATGTCAACAGAAGACAAGACAATATGCGACTCGGAGCCAAGGTTGGACG